CCGGCATCGGTCACGCCTGCGGGCACAACCTCATCGCCGAGGTGGGAGCCGCCGCCGCCCTGGGGCTGAAGGCCGCCCTGGAGAGCCTGCCGCAGCCGGCGCCCGTCGCCGTCCAGGTGAGAGCCCTCCCGGGGGCGGAGGCGGTGGCCCCGGCCCCTGCCGACCGGTCGGCGGCCCCTGACTCTCTGCCTTTGTGCTGCAGGTCACGGTGCTGGGGACGCCTGCGGAGGAACAAGGAGGAGGCAAAATAGACCTGATCAACGCTGGAGCCTTTGATGGCCTGGATGTAGTTTTTATGGCACACCCCTCGCAAGAAAACGCAGCTTACCTGCCCGATGTGGCCGAGCACGAGTGAGTGAGCAGGTTCAGGCAGGAAGGGCTGGCTTGTTATTAGCCTTTTCTCCCCTTCCCGAGTAGGGGAGCTGCTTTGGAAGGGGCTGAACTTAGGCCGGGGACCTTGCAGGTGCCCTTCAGGCGAAGTATTTGCAGTCAGCTAAGGAGCCAGGTCACTGTTCTGGGCACTGAGCCGTTCTTCCAAAGTGCGCTGTTCAGCCTAGTGTTAAAGACCTCTGACTGCTCTGAGATCATCTTGCATGTGTCCTCAAAATCTGATGTTCCTAGGTGTTTCTTTTTATTGATACAAAGATCTGTGTTCTCCAAACCCCCTTGCTTTCTAACTTTCTTCACCGAGGTGGGAAGCTAGGTGCGGCTGTGTAAGGAAACCAATGTAATGAAACTGAATAACAACAGAGTGTTATAAAGCAGGCATTTTATTGCAGCACTGGGGATTCTCCACCATGAGTGCTCCTCCGATTTGGTAGACTTCCAGAGATTATATACTATAAAGTCATACCTATTCACAGGATTTCCGAGAATTCATTTACATAAACATGAGATTTCCTGAAACTTATTAATATATGCAAATGTCCGATCTGCATGCACAGTCGTCTTCCTTGGTGGTCTTTGGGTGGTCGTCGGGGCCTTCAGATGAAGGCTTGTAGTATTCTTCATTGTGTTCACTGACTGACCTTTGCTTCAGTTCTGGGACCATGTCCTTCAAGGCTGTTATTGTCATCATCCCCTTGCAACTTTCTTATCTTCTGTGCATTTGTTCTCCCAAGGCCAAGTTGTCTGAGATGGGATTATCCCGGAGCCCCCTTATCTTACAACCATTCTAACAGCTCTCTAAATCACAAAGGCCTTTCTTTTGTTTAGTTAAGTGACTAAGATATTTACAATATCCTCTTTGCCCCTAGGCTTTAATTCTTTCAGGAGGCATTTTAATGCAGTGGCTTTGTTTATCTTGGCTTTAATCCTTTCATTATACATGCATATGATTATTTTATGTATTTAAAAAAAAGTTTCATTTAAAAAACACCTGTTGTTTAAATTTTAAAACATGCAACTGGAGGGAGTCTCATGGATCCTAGTTCCTTGCTTTCCTGGGCACCAGGTCATGTAGTCCTCTGTATGCATTTTATTTTAATCAGGTTTTTAGTGTTTCAGGTTTTCTCTCCCACTTTTGAAAGAGCCAGGCAGCTGAGCCTGACTGCTGTTTGGATCCCTGTTAACTTCCAGCCTAAATTTAATCATGGCCGTTTAATATCTATTAACTCTTATATCAGCTTTTTTTCTTGATTCAAAGTAGTTCTTGGTTTTCCTTCATGCTTACCCCCAATACATGTCTACAGACAGCAGTCATACCCTCACTCAGCTTTTTTTTGCTAGCTAGCCATATAACTCTTCAGAAATTATGCCTTGTCTTCTTTTGATTAGCGTTACTGTTCAGTGTCACACTTGTTAATTTGTACTTGGAGTGATTTGACTTGCCTTGAAGTACTCCTTGCTGGATGTACATAACCAGAATTGTACACAGTACATCAGGTGGAATTTCCTTAGACCTTACTCAGCTGATGCTGGAACCATAATGTCTCCTTACCATTTTGGAGACAGCTGGCACGTTTGGGGCTTCCTCTTCAGTCATTGTCAAGCAGTCAACTCTTAGACAAATGCTTAGTCTATAAGTACATGATCTTTTAAAATATTTTTGAGTTTCATTCTGTTCTTTCTCTGCCAGTCTGCAAGGCTGTGCTGTTCTTCCTTTGATATTATAAACCTTTTCTGTTTTCATAGTGTCCCAGCAGTAGTCTATCAGCAGGTTTTGTTACTACATTTTATGCCACAGTTACTAATGGTTCTTGATCCCAAGGTCTTATCTTGTAGAAACTCCACTAGTAACCTCTCTCCAGTGCAACAGTTTTTTCCAAGTATTACATTTGGCTCTTTCTGACTAAATTCTGTAATATTTAAATAACCAGTTTTCAAACCATTTCTGGCTTGGTGTACTGAGAGCTGTTTTTGTCTTGGTTGTGCTACCTTCCAGCTTCTGTGTGCTTGATTTTATTGGCCATTTTGCTTTTGCCACCAGTTCCTGGTGGATAATTTGCTTCTGTTACTGCTAAGTTTTATGGCAAAACAGACAAGATCAGCAACACCTAGTCTTCCTTACCTAGCTAGCTCTCTGCTATAGTCCATCATTGTGTTTCTAAAGAGTCTTAACTGGTTATTGTAATCTCCTTCAAGACTTATCTCAGTTTGGCTTTTGGTCACTGTACCTTAAGACTATATTTATAATCTTCAAGATGCAGTTTTCATGAATAGTTTTGTCTTTTTCTTCATTTCAACTCTTGCAATAGCCTTTTGAGTTTGATACTTTAAGATCTGGAAATCTCCCTTCAGAGGTGATGGTCTGCTCTAGGATGTAAGTCCTAGATAGCCTTTAAACCTTGACGCATGGAATTGAAGTACGGAGTGAAAGAGCTTACTACCTTGAAATACTCAGCTTATGCCATGACTTATTTAATTATGAGATTCCAAGGGTATGAAGACTGTTTTGATGATTTGTAATTGATCTTTTGGTTGTTTCCAAGGAATTTAAGGACGGGTGATCACTAAATTGCTAGTATTACTACATCTGCAAACTCCAAAGCTGGCTTGTGCCTGAAGTAAAATTAACATACTGGGATAACTGTGGTGAATACATGCCAGAATTTGCTGATTCTTGTTCACTTATCCTTCACCTAATCAGCCTGTTTATTGTTGGCCAAACAGGATCCACATTCTTCTGCTAATACTCTTAAACTGGCTTGGGGTTTCATTATTCCCCAAAATCTGGTGTTTTTTTCTGAGAGTATGTGACATTTGTGTAGCAATAGAAGTACAAGAAAAGGAATGCTGAAATAACTTTAAGAAGGCCATGTTTCTTCTGGGGAAGAAGAAAAGACTGCAACATGACTTTCTGCTTTACTTTGCCTTTTCTCCATTTTCTTGAGGATTTTTTAAGGGATCTGTCCTGCCTTTTTTGTGAGTTGATTTGAGGGGTTGCAGTCTAATACTTGGGATGTTAATGGATAAGTTTTTTATCTTGATTTCATAATGTTAATAGATTTTAAATAAACCCCATACTTTACACAATGGGATGTACGGTTGTCTTGGAGGATGGGGGAGGATGGAAAAGGGCGTACTTAATTTGGATTGCAGGCAGTAGCAGCAGACATTTTCTGCTGCAACAGTACACTCCGTTGTGTCCCTCTTTGCTATCCAGTATTTAACTTCTGGTATTAACTTAAAGTTGTGGCATGGTTCAGATCATGAGGGGTCAGTTAAGCTGGCATCCGTGCAAGACAGGGACAAGCAAGTTAGGCTGGTCCTAGTTGGGTAAGAGGTTGTGCGTGTCAGGGGAACTCTGAGCTTGAGGATGGAGTTTTTCATGTGAAGGGCTGGGTATTGAATACAAACAGATGTAGTTAAAATCTGTAGTACTGATTTAAAACCTAATGCTTTTGTATTAGTAGTATATAAGTAGTATAGTAATAATACAGTAGCAATAGTAGTAACACTTAGCAACTCATAAATAGTAATACTGTTGTCGAGTAGTAATAATAAGTATAATTAAGACAACTAGTAATAGTATTAATACTATTGCTATTAATTAATAGTATTAGTTAAATACTACTTATCTTAATTACTATTATCTTAATACGTAGTTGTCAGTATTTAATATTTGCCTCTCACATAAAGTTTTCATATAATTTGAAATACTAAATTATTTTGTAAAGCTAATATAAATGGCTCTCATAGGATGAAGCCAAGCATGAATTCTTACTGGATGTGTTTAGGTGCAGTGTTTTGACTTCTACGAAGTTGGAGGGTAACTTTTGCACTAGATTTCTTCCTTGTTGCAAGCCTTTCTACCAGCATTTTTGAGGTGTGCAGGGATTTATACTAGGCTATGCCTTTACTGCACTTTTAATACTTGACTTCTGTTATTTAGACATGGCTTGTATGTGATCTTAGTAATGTGCTTTTGCTGTCTTACATACCACATGCATTTTATTGAAGTTTGATAAGAATTGGGACAATCAACTTCTAATTTTGAATCAGAGAAAAGGGTTTGTTATCCTCTGAGAAGAATGTTAGTAACTTTTAAGCCTCAGAACAGTCAGAAGGTATAAAAAAGTGTTGGAGACAATTATGTGAAGCCTGTACTTCTGAGGAAAAGGCTGTATAGTGGTATGTTACTAGTAGCTCTTTTGCCTGATGGGCTCTTGATATTGTTCCACTTCATTGGTTTTCTAGAAATCTTTCAGCATCTTCCTGCACTGAAAGGTAGTTCAACTTTGCAACAGTGTAGTACCAGGTAAATTGTTTGGTGTTCTGCTGCACAAAACTTAAATAACAAATATTTGTGTGAATAAAAGGAACTTTTTATTTTAGAGGTTTTTTCAGTGAATGAGAAACAAATAAGCAATGCCTTTTATTTCCTAGTGTGACTGTGAAATACTATGGAAAAGCTTCTCATGCTGCTGCTTATCCTTGGGAAGGAGTTAATGCATTAGATGCTGCTGTTCTTGCATACAACAATCTGTCTGTTTTAAGACAGCAAATGAAACCGACCTGGAGAGTTCATGGTGAGATTTTCATTAAATCTAATGTCCAGCAAGTAAGAGTTTAGGCTGTTGAAATACTAACTTACAAAATCCCACAATTTAAAATATTGCATTATTGCACTAAATTAGTATAGTCACTTCAAATATTATGAAATAGCACCATTTAATTTAAATAGTTTGTCTGTAATCTTCAAAATCATGTCAGTGTCAAGAACTAACTTCTGAAAATAAACTTATGGGCCAGATTCAAAAGAGGACACTGGTACCTAGATAGAGGCTAGACAAATTTTAAGCCTTTGCACTTGAAGTTGCTGTTCAGAAGGAAAAAAAATTGCTAAGCTGATTTTTAACTATGGCCTTGAATTCCTTAAAGTTAATGTATGTATTTTTGCAAAGGTGTAAGATTAAATGCTTCTGAAAAATGAAGTATGACTTAACTGCAGCATTTTTGTAGTAGACATTCCATTAATTAGGTGGCATTTATATTGACATTTATGGAAAGGTATAGCGGTCTAGAGTGACTGAAGTTTATTTCCTGAAGTACAAAAACCAAGTGATGGCAGAAGCCTATATTTCTGATTAGTAGCCCAATCAACTGGATTCTAATATTTGATATCTAGTAGACCTTGAAGTAGAAAGGTAATTTTGCAATAAGACATGTTAACTATTAAGCTAGTACTCCTTCAACATCATGCATTTTTTTGTTGCAGAAGTTGAGATGGAAGCTGCCCTTTAGCTATAAACCCAGGTTTCCCTTATTACTCCAACACAACTTTTTCCAAGTTGAAATTAAGAAACTTTGTCATTTCTACAGGGCTTCTGAATGTAGAACTGTTTAATTGGAATACTTGTTATGAGCTTAAAACAATTCCAGAAGTTCTGAGCTAATGATCATTATATGTCTTGGCTGCTTGTGCTGTATAATACATGTGTGTATTTCTCTCCAGGATATCTGGATGCAGTCTGGAAGCCCTAACCCTTTTGACTGTAGATGAAGATGTTTGCAGTTCTGTGTGGCAGCATACTGAAATGAATTTCAGACAGTGGGCATAGCTTTAGCTCTCTATCCTATTGCTCTGTAGGAAACAAGGCACTTAATTATGAGTTTTGGTGTCTAAAACTCATGTGTTGCAGGTTTAAGATTGGAGGTGCCTAAGTCTTCTATGGGATATAAGCCTAAAACCCTAAATACTGCTTTCTTCATAGTTTCTAAAGGCTACATGGGTAATGTAGGCAAAAACCTAAGTATCTAAACAAGCCTCCTAGAGGTAACACTTCACAAACTACAGCAAAACTTAAATTACTATGTTGATACAACTGCTGTCATAAACCTGATTTTCAAACTGGAAATATTTTAAATACCTTTGGGAAAGTATAAGCAGCCAGAATGAGATTTAATTTTAGGAATGCTTTCTTTACAACAGTGTGTTGGAGGTCTTGTGTTGCAGGTGTGCAGTAACAGCCGTGGCTGACTTAAGTGATCCTAAAAGTCTTAGTGTTTACCCACTAACAAGAACTGAAATAGTTTCCATTACTTGAAGTCTAGAATTTCTAAGCAATGTTTTATGCACTTGAACAATGTTGGTTTGAGTTTGTCTGCTATTTGATAAGTGTCTTTCTTCCCTGCTAATGAGTGGAGTAAATGTTGCCCCCTTTAAAAATAGGAATGTAGATTTTTTTTTTGCTGTTCAAGCAATTGTATTAAACAGGCTGTAAAAAAAAAAGTTCCATCTAGAAGCAGGGCAGACTAGGTGCTGTTAGTAGTGTGCAGGCAGCCTACTTTTAAGCTAGATCTGCTGTCCAGTCCATATTACAGTTGCTTTGAAATTTAAGTGTAGACATACTCTCAGACTCCATCCAGTTCCATTTACGAATGTGTTGGAAGACAAATGAAAGCTTATTAAGCTACTTGTTTTGAGCAAATGTTATGATGTGTGTCATACAAATTTGCATGATTACTTACTTGCTGATTTGCTGGTTCCTTTTCTGTGATGTCTGTCCCTCTCATCTAAGCTGTTCCTTTTGTTATGGACTAGTACTGATAGTGGTTTATTTCAGCACTCTGTTTACTTTGACTGCATTCAAGACTGGAAAGGTTTTACTTGAGGGCAGAGTTCATTGTCTTAATAGGTTTTCTGCACCAAAAGTGAAGATTTGTTTATTTGCATCCTGATAGTGCTGTCTTTTCAGGCTTCAGTGACCCACATCAGTAACTTTGTGCAGTATTTCCATTTAATGTCGATAGTTTCTCAGGTTCTACAGAAAACAAATCTTATTCCACATATATAAATTGAGTATAGGAGGCTAGGTAAACAAGCAGCCTGTTGAAAGCAATGAGCTGTTAATGCATTGAAATCTAATGTAGAATTGAGGTCTACAATGTTTTTTTTGTTGAAATATCTAAATATTACGGTCTTTTATGGTAATGCCTCTGATGCTGTAACTGAAACCTATGTAGTTGTCACACATTTCCTTGAGGGAACATCTTCAACCTAAATTTCTCTCGTACATATATTATACACACCAGTATTTCTTAAAGAATTAGTTTGAGGACTCTAATGAACTTTCTGTGCACTGCAACACACACATTACTCCAGTATTGCTGAGAAATGCAACTTACTCAATTTCTCTCCAAGCTGGCGAAGTAAGTTGGAAGCATTCTAGTTGAGGAAACCTTTAAAAGTTGGAATCCAAGGTAGCCTCTACAACAAATTTTTTTTCTTTTTCAATGGCAGCCAGATTGCTTTATGACTCTGATGCATTAAATTTCAGGGGATTAATTACAAATGCTAGTTTGGCTTGTCTTTAGGTTTATAACAGATAACCAAAGAATGCAATGAAATTGTGCCGGAAAACATGTACACATTCCACTTAATCTGATGTGATGAAGAAACTTTGTCCACATACTGTATTTTTTACATTCTTCATATATTTCATGCTCAGTTGATGTTTGGTTGGTTTTGGTTTATATATTTAGTTCTTGAGCAAGGAGTTTCATGACAGGGCTGAAGCTCAAGCGTTTGTATTTAACACTGGTAACATGACGTTTCCCTTTCTGTAGGTGTAATAAAAAATGGCGGTGTGAAACCTAACATCATTCCTTCTTACACTGAACTAGAGTTTTACTTGCGTGCCCCTTCAATGAAAGATCTTTCTGTTCTGACGGAGAAGGTTGAGAACTGCTTCAGATCTGCAGCACTGGCCACAGGATGCAAAGTAAGAATGTATTCATGGTCATGTGCTTTTATTATGCTGCAGATAAGGTAGGCCAGAATAGGAAATCGAGGCTTACAGCATTTGTCTTCATGGTGTTTAGCTGAAAGAAATCAAAATGTCAGTGATACTATTCGCTATTCTGTTGCTTTGTGTCCTAGGAGAAAGCTTTGTTTTATAAATAGAATGCCACAGAATCATAGAATAATCTAGGTTGGGAGAGGCCTCCAGAGGTCATCTAGTCTAACCCTTTGTTCAGAGCAGGACTAGTTAGAGCAGTTTGCTCAGTGCTGTGTGGACTTCTGAGTATCTCCATGGATGAAATTCTACAACCTCTCTGAACAGTGAGGCCCAGTTATGGTCAACAAGGTTTTTCCCAATGTTTATACTGTGACTGACCACTGGAACAGGTTGCCTGGAGAGATTGTGGTGTTTCCATCCTTGGAGATACTCAAAAGCTGCATTGATATGGTCCTGGGCAGCTAGCTCTAGGTGACCCTGCTTGAGCAGGGGAGTTGGAGAAGGTGACCTCCAGAGGTGCTTTCCATCTTCAACCAACTTCTGTGATTCTGTTGTATCTGATAGGAATTTCCTTTGTTGCCTCTTGTCATATCACTGGGCATTTCTGAGAAGTCTGGTTCTGTCTTCTTTCTACCCTCCCCATCTGGTATCTGTAGACAGCTTAGCCTTCTTTTCTGAAGGCTCAACAAACCAATTTCTTTCAGCCTTTCCTTGTATGTCATGTTCTCCAGCACCCTGATCATCTTGGTGACCTTGCCCTGGACTTGCTCCAGTCTTGACTTCAGGAGCACAAAACTGAACACAGTACACCAGATGTAATCTCACAGGAGTTGTCTGCATCAATAATAAAGATATTAAATCAGCAATGGCACCAGTACTGATTGCTGCCTGTTACTTCTAGCATCCATCTGCAATTTGGAATTTTGTGCCGCTGATCTTAACACTTTGAGCCTGAACGTCTTGTGTCCACTGAGCCAGACCTGTGAAAAGCTTGGTCATGCACGATCTGCTCTTCTGTGAATCTATGCTGGATAGTCACAATTGCCTTGTGATTCACGTACTTGGACATGGGTCTTAGGAGGATTTATTTGCTCTATAATCTCCCCAGGAGCCTGATGATAGGACAGTCTGACCAGTCTGTAATTTCAAAGATCTCCTCCTGGGCCTTCGAGATATATGTGACCTTTAGCTCTTTTTCAGTGAGCTGGAGCATCCCTCTACTTCCTTTGCCCCATTAAACAGCAAGCTCATGTAGCACCCAAACGTGAAAAACTGAGTGATTTTTTTTCAGTTAGCATTCTTTTTTTTTTTTTTGCTTTTAGCAAGTGGAAGTGTTTCTCCTGTAGCTAGTTCCAGCAATATGATTACCTTGCAATGTATTGCTAAGATAGGTGGTTCTACCTGCTCTGTAGTTACAGGTGGATGACTAATACAGCTGTGAAAAGAATGTCTCTGGTCATCAGAACAAATAGGTATAGTGTATAGAATGTGAGCTAGTGAGTTTTAAGGTCTATTTGAGGCATTAGATGCTGTTTGCCTAGTATGGCCCCTCTAACTAGAAAAGGATTTCAGAAAGTGTACTTTATGCAGAATGAAAGTTAAGATCTCTTTTGAAACTTGACATTGGTATGTTTTTTTACATTTGTTCTCAGACTTCTTGCCTGTGTGAAGTCATTTCATGAATGGGGCTGTAGTTATTGGAAGTGTTCTAAACAAAAATAGTAAAATAGAATTTGCTGAAAGACTGAATTGATTTCTATGTAGCTTAATAGTACCTGCAGTGGAAATCATTAGAAGCTATTACAGGAAATGTTTGCTTACTATTTTTGGAGATGCTCTCCATGAAATCCATGCTTCTGGAATTTGGCTCTCTAGTGCAAGCTTGACAGAAGACCAGCTGTGCTTTAATCAAGGCTAATATTTGGCAGAATGTTATACTTTTTGAAAGAAATGTAGCACTTACATGTGTTTTGACATGGGCTTGAAGTATGGGCTTTAAGTTGTTTACAATAAACTGGCTTAGGTTGGTGAAAGACTTCTAATCGTTTGGGTTTTCTTGTCTAGGTGGAAATAAAAGGTGGTGAAAATGATTACTACAATGTGCTTCCAAATAAGAGCCTGCAGAAAGTTTACAAGGAGAATGGAAAGAAGCTTGGAATAGAGTTTATATCAGAAGACTCTATCTTGAATGCCTTGTCAGGTAACTTGATCTGGGCTTTTTTTGTTATGACTTAAGCTTAGATTGATCAACGCTAAGTGTATAAAATAATGGGATAGAGGTAGGTTAAACATAATTTGGTCAGAAGAAAAAAGCCAAATTAGAAAGCTCTGTAAAAGGATTGTAGCTCTGGCCTGTGTTTCTGTATTTGTTGTAGAAGCTGAGAAATTTTCCCAACAGGTGTGGAAAGCAGTGATCATTTTCTGAAAATATTTCAAGTAAGAAACAGTTTGGTTGGGGGGAGGGATGGAAGGATGGAAAGATAAGAACGGTCTTACTGAGAACATGAGGATGTGGAATGAATTGCGGCTCATTCTGTTGCTTTGAAATATAGAATCCTGGTTTATGCTATGAATGAAGATAAGATTTAGTTTTTAGGAACCTTGTTTAACAATATTTTCCAGGCTTACATATAAACAAATGTATTGGCATCTAACTAATATTTTAGAGGGAGTTTTTGAAGAGATTTTTAAGTGGAAGTTTAAGCATCTCAGTAACCCTAATTTAAACCTCTTTCCATTAACAGGTAATTCTGTGCCTCTAATTTTAGTTCACGAGTTCAACAGATTAGTTTTCCAAAGGGTGCTGTTCAAGTAGGGTTTTCACATCTGAAGTCTTGACTATGTCTCAAATTATTTCACTTTCTTGGTCTCTCAGAGGTATAGTAAGAGGTGTGTGAATTCTTGAATTCTCAGGTGGGCTTCTCATTACTCTTAACAGTTTTTTTTTTCCCAGAATCTTCCCACAGGAGCGCTGTTCAAGTCTTATAACTGCTGCTGATACTTTATAGCCTTCACTAGTGATCATAACTGTATATATAATGTTAAAGATTTTTCTCTTTGGTTAGAAGGAAAAGGTTTTCAGTAAAAAAATGTTAATCCAGTAAGTTTGATTGTGGTGCTAATCTTCTCTATGTTAAATACAGATTTTCTTTGGATAGTTGAGATCTTGGTGGTCAAGGATAGAGTGCTCGAAACTTTTAGTTGTATGGGGGAGACAGCATATCTAATGGTATTCTTGTGGTTTTTCTCTTATTTCTTACTTCCCTTCCAAATTAAGGCAACACTAGCATATTTTCTCCAATTGCTTCATTGTCCTGGGTTCAAAAACAAATTATAACTAAAGGCAGCTTTCTTCTTTTCTTTATTCAGTGTGGTACAAGTAAGACTTACTACTTTGCTCATTTAGCCTAAGAGAGGTGCTGAGGAACCTTATTTAGAATGTTAACTGTAGTGAAACTTGCTGGAGCTCTGTGTTGCTTCCCTCAAGCCATTGTATTAAGGGTGAAGATCATGAATACTGGTGATCGTGCTGGCTCAGAGGACCTTGAATGAACTTAGTACAGACACCTAATTGTAATAGTGCTTTCATATGTAAGTTACATGATATGCTAAATGTTAAACATTAACTTGCTTAAACTGGAACTCTCCATATGCCTGTCCTGTCCATAAGTTGCTTATCGAATGTCAAAATGTGCTTGAGCAATTACATTTTTACTGCACACTGCACTAGGCCTTACTGAATTTTCTTTCCACAGCTGCTTCTCTGAATTTTTGCACTGGGGATTCAGGAGTGATAAGAAAGCACAGTCTCCAGAGACATAGGAGTGGAATTTTGTATGCTACCCTTTTTGGGAGGGGTTGAGTGTTTTGTCTCATCTTTTTTAAGACCTCTATTTCTGTTTAGTTTTCATATGGTTTTCAATGTTTTCTTTTAGGATATCAGTTTCTTCTGTTGAAAGGGAAGGAAGATAGCTCAGTTGCTTCTCCATGTCTGTGCAGCAGAAAAGTCGTTAACAGATGAGCATACTCGCTGCCACCTCTACATGGGTATTAGTATCGGTCTGCTTACAGGTATCGCTCTAGGCAGCTAAACATTACGAAGAATTCCTTTAGTCCATCAAGTCACGGTACCTTGTGTGTGCCTTGTGCACGCTCCACTCATTTGGCGCACAGCGAGGACAATGTGAATCCGAGTTAGCTTGGACCAGGTGCCATGACCTGTTTCTCCTCCTGCTGGTAGGGTAGCTCTACTACAGGATATTGAAAAGCTCCCAAAGCAGATGGCTTAGTTCAGCATGGCTTAGTTGAGGCACCCACGCTTGTGATAACTTACTCTGATATTTTTAGCATTCATGGGCTTCGTTGGCTTCCTGTGCACAAGGCTGATAGAATCATAAGAAGGAGCCAATATGTTTTGGAAATACCACTTTTGAAGCTTGGGGCTGTATATAAATACTTTCTGGAATCTTTTGCATTTTCCCCTCCATTCATGTTTGTGGTAATACTGGCTTCCATTATGTACTTAGTGACTTGAAGAGCCTTCAGTATCAGCTTCAGGATGTTTTTTGAGAGGCTGGAGCTCCCAGTACCTTTCTGTGGAAGATAGTGCACAAGTCTGTATATTGCATTGATAACTGCGCAGTTAGGCTTCTAGAAGGAAACCTGATCTGTACATCTCTATCGAGTATATGGTTCCAGATGTTTGTATGGAAACTGTTGGAACATTTGATGTTTTAAACATGCTGCTAGGTATGATAGAGTGGAAGATTTTTTTATGCTTCTAGAAGGAAACCTGATCTGTACATGTCTAGCAAGCATACAGTTCCAGATGTTTGTATGGAAACTATTGGAATGCCTGATGTTTAAACATGCTGCTAGGTATGATAGAGGGGAAGATTTGACTGTCGCATTTTTAGTAAAAGCTGCCTGGATTTTGGCTTGGTAAGGTCTCCATCTTACTAGAAAGTGCCAAGTTTAAATCCCTTGCATTCAGCAAAAATAACTTGTAAACTGATAGTAGATTGGATATGGGTAGAGTTTGAAGTGGAATTACATGACGAAGAGCTGGGATGCATTGAAATTGCTAGTGCTTCATTTGCTGGGTGAGAGCAGGGAAAAAGGCAACACAGTCTTGCCAGCAGCTTGTGTATTAGGACTTAGTAAGGCAAGTCTAGAATTCTTGGTTTAGTCTGGAGTAGGCAGAACTTCTAGACTTCTGGTTTGTCTTTCCAGACTGACGAAAGAATAGATCAATAGACTACTGAAAATTACAGTAACTTGCTGCTGTGCCAAGGGTTGGATTTTCTTCAAATGCATACTGAATTTATGGGAAAAGATCATTTTTTTGGACAAGCCTTGCTTCTTCCATTTGTCTGTAGGCAGAGCAAATAGCAATGTAGTCTTGTCCTCTTTGATCCCATAATGTAAGCTCTGTGGACTCACTTTTAATAACTATATGTTTCCAAGTAAAATCTATATTTTTCAATCATTTCATTACTCAGTCTTAAGGCATTAGCAGTATCTTGTCTCCATAAAGTATCATGATATGGAGGCTACCTGATGTCTTACAGATAGTTTTAAATCTTTGGAACAGTCATTTTATATGCCATTACTAAATAAAAAAAGTCTTACAGCTCCGATTGGCCTGAAAAAAGTTAATTGAGGTCTTAGTCGGTCATCCCTATTTTTCCCTGCTATGAAACAATGCTTCCTCTGGTATCTGAATTTCACAGCAACTGGCATGTTGATTTCCCCAGCTTCTAAATGTCATTTTAACAAATACTGAGTGGATTGCTTGTTTCGGTGGGGAAAAAAAAGGCGCTTGGGAAGACATTGCAGACTCTTGGATGATTTACTGTGAAGAGTCTACTACTTCTGGATGGTATCATTAACTAGATAAGGCAGTACTTTGAGACAGGTACTATTGCTAGCTAACATACTGAAAGTGCTAGTCAGGCATGAAAGAATTGTTAAAATCTGCAGCATTGCTATCAAGATTTTTTTTTTCCATGTCTACAAAGCACTAGTGTTTTGTTTGGAGTTTGGTTCTGATCTTGTTATTTCAAGAGTGCTTGTGCTGCTAAGGTTTCCATAACTGAGAATAATCAAAAAGCACAGGAAAAAAAAATAGTGGTCCTTAATCTGGTTTTGTTTAAAGATAGGTTGTTCCTACTTCAGAGTCCCCTACCTAATGTTGAATATGTGCATACTGGTGAGAAATGGTAACTCTTGGGCCTGGTTCTAAGGGCTGTAGCAGGAAGATAGCTGGACTGCCCGAAACTCCCAAGATTTGCAGCTTTCATTGTTTCTGAATTAACAGCTTACTATCAGGAGATGCTTGATAAAAAATTAACAGTAAATGGAATGGGAACATGCTGATATGTCTTCCTTGCAGTCCAGTAACTGATTATTGATCAGAAGTGCACTGGAGAGCAGCATCTGAAGGTGGCTAGTTAGGGAAAACATCTCAGTGATGGGCAGATTTTTGTATGCATGACTCATTAGAAGTGCTTTTATTTTAGTATTTGGGGCAAAGGATCTTCTGGTTTAGAAATGGGCTGGAGATAATATCTATCATACATTTTCTTACAGCATTCAAAACTCTTCAACACTTGTTCGTTAATAAAATTTCTATGCTGCTTCTAGGTTCCACGGACTTTGGAAATGTTACATTTGTAGTCCCTGGGCTTCATCCTTATTTTTATATTGGCTCTGATGCATTGAATCATACTGAGCAGTACACAGAAGCTGCAGGTGAGTGGAATTGAAAAGTGTTAGAGGTTTATATTTGGAATCCTTACGCATTGTAGGGACTGGTTGCTGACTCTTCACTACAGCAAATGTAGAAATTGTAAATATTTCAAATTACAGAGGATTAAAGCTTTCACATGCTTCTATGGTATTCAAGGCTACTGTACAGTAAATGTATAAAAGTGTAAGTACTAGATCTGAAAGTGGCTGCCTGTGAATATCTGTATAAAAATTGCGTTGCTTTCTTCAAGCATGATGGGATCTGAGCTGAATACGGACCTTCAAACAATTCACATAGTTAATTGCAGAGTTGCAGAAAAAAGCTGACAAAATGTAGAATTTCTATTTTTGTGTTTAAAGTTAAATGTATATGGGAAGAATGACCACACTCCTTGTACCAAAAGCCTGACTTAGTATACCATCTAGACAGAAGAAATTAGAAGGATTGTCCATAGCAGTGTATTTAGAAGAGTTTCTAAACATGAGCCAAAAGTTAAAAGTGATTTTTACTCCTAAAGCACAATACTCTGGAAGTGTAATAGAGATAACAGTATAAAACTCTGCATTTTCTAAAAAGGAAAATGTGAACACTCATTTTCCTGTTTTCAGTCTTACTTGTTTACATCAGTAGCAGAAAGTTAAGTAGTTTCATGTGAAAATTTGTTTTGAGGCATCAGAAAATAGACATACTTCATTCATGCAAGTAGATTTTTAAGAAACTGTTCTTGCAATTGAAACTTGAAGATCTTATTTTATAGAATATGCCTTATGTGGTAAACCAGTGGTTTGTATCTAATGTTAGTAACCTAACTGTAGTAAAGATAAGGGCTGGTGACCGGAAGATCACGCGCTGTATGGAAAGAGTTAAGGGTTGACCCTCCCTTGTCTCTGCCCCTTATTACATGACATGCCTACTGCTGGGGGTGTAAAGCCCGGGTCAGCTGGAGATCCGGGGGGATAACCTTGATATGTAATGAATGCTAACGAACGCTACACCTAACCTGAAATTCCTCTTACTTTTTTCTGCAGGGTCACAGAATGCTCAGTTCTATGCTTTGCGCACAGCAAAAGCTTTGGCAATGACAGCACTGGATGTCATTTTCAAGCCAAGTCTCCTAGAAGAAGTCAGGGAAGACTTTAGACAGGTGAAGCTAAAAGAAGATGGACAAATAAATCCAGTAGAACCTAACAAAGAATCTGGCGTTGGCATAGGAGCATGTGCATCACACTAAACTTTATAAAACCTCTCAGTAGGATTGACTTAATGGAGATGCTGTATTTAAATCCCAGAAGGGGCTGGATAAACACATAGCTGAAGAAATGTTGATTTTTCTTGGACTTAGGAGAAGCAAATAGTATCATTGCTTTCAAAAATGTGCAATTTCACCTAACCGTAATGTTTGCTGTATTCAATATGGGGATGAACTTCAGAGAGAGATCTCAAATATGTTGTCTTTACGTTGCAGTGTTGAATAAATGATAGTTTCGATCCCTTGTCAGTGATTTTCTATGTATTGCTAAAGTAATATTCCTTGTAGGGGAAATATGGCATTTTTAAATAAACACTGTTCACACTCTGATCATAGGCTGAATCTGATCTATGAAGCATTTCTCTCTGGCTAGTCACTTTTTCTCAGGACAAGATAGAGGCTTAAAACTTGAGCTGGTTTCACTGGAGAGAAGGGTGTATGTTTGGAAGCATGCCTGGTTTTGACAATAGTAGCTTCTAGCAATGGAAGAGAACTGTTTGTATGAACATGTGATCTGTAAAGGTTGATTGTCCTGAAATGCGTTGACCTTCCTCCTAATAAATTTTGAGGTGTTGTGGAAAAGTCATGGATCAAAAAATTGGAAAGCAACTAAATGTTTATTTGTTTAAATTAACACATTTAAACTACTGCAGGAAAATGCATGTGCACCTTTTTAAAGTTCTACTCTAAGGCAATACAAGTGTCCTCACAAGGTGTTGCACTGGCTTAACTGATCTGAAGGATGTGTATAAATTTAGCTAAACTAGTGGAAATCTTTTTCAAAGATGCAAGCGTGGTACTGTGAAGCAGTAAAGGAAGGTAACCTTAAACTGGTTGTGTGTAGACCCCTGTAGTAAGCTCTGAGAAGCTTGCACTGAGGATCGCTTGTGCAGTAACTGGCTTCTCAAACCTGTTTGTTCCCATATCCTAAGCAGCAGATCTGTTAAGTCTTGCCAGTTGTCCTTTGTGTTGTGTGGTTAGTCTGCTTAATCCTTCTTGGTTTGCTTCCCAGAGACATTAATGTTGCAAATTTTACCTAGGTGGTGGTCTGTGTGTCCAAACCTGCCAGGAATTTTTTTTAATTCACTTGTTAAAGGATCACGTGAGTACGTAGAGAAGGAACTAATCTTGTGTTCAGATACAAATTGCTGAGTCAAGGGACAGACTGAGTGAAAAAGCAGCTTACTGGTTAACATTTTCCTAAGCATAGGTATTATAGTAAGCTTCTGAAAAGAAGTCAGGCAAACTATATTCCCCAGGAAGTCAGAATACCCAAAATCATTTCAGAAACCTTGTTTTTAACAGCACTAGTCTCTAAATGGTCAACTCTAGAATTCTAATCAGAATTTATATTTTATTAATTTCTATATTCAATTTCTAATTCTGGAAAAAAACAGATTCCTTATCTTGGTTTAACTGTGCATTCCCTCTGCATTTCCGCGCCCTCCTTAACACAGATTAAGATTTAAGAATTCTATTGTGACTTTCCCTTCTTAAAAGGAAAAAAGTGTGACTAGGCTGGCTTCTGTTTGTACGTCACGTAGACAGTGTAGACAACATAATTTGATGGTTTTTAGACTTTCTGATAGTTCAGCCTCTGTGCTTGTAGTATGCTTTTGTAGTAGGACACAGACTATCTTTTAGTTAATATGTTAAATGCTCAGCGTCTTTGGAAGAAGGAAGTAACTGTTATCTGTTTCTGTAAGAACTGGAGGCGCAGTTAAAGGGGTTAACTGTTTTTGTATTAGAAGCCAGTTATTTGAAGAGTTGAGCATGACCGCAAGTCTTCCAGGTTATAAGTGAATCCGGCCTTAGGCCAGTATCCTTGCTTTCATTAGCAGGCAGTTTTGACAGATGAATGCATGAAACAGATGCGGGTTGGACTCTGAGCTATACGTATGTCCAGGGTAGTAAGTTGGATACTAAATCCAACTGAAATTTGGTCCAAGGTTTGTCAGAGGAACTTTCTCCTTAACTTTTAATTTAGACCCTGCCTTGCCAGTTCTCAGACACAGCTATGATTCATTAACTTCTACTGGGTTAGCAAGCTAGTTCATGAATTTCCTTAGCCTGTGTGGCTTTTTATTCCCTCCCTCATGAACTGCTTAACTTCTTGCTTTGCTGCTGTTAAGATGGAGTGACAGCAATACACGCTGCGTTTTCATGTTTCCTACATGCTGATGTGCATTACAGCCTTCTCAGTTCTCTTTGTCCAGGCTAGCTGGCTGTTGGCTGCATCGTGTCCGAGATCATTTAATTAAACATTTCTGCACTAAAAGCATGTCTTAATTTTGTTGTAATCATTGCTGGAATTAAAATGAAACTGAAGTACTGATTGAAGATGATTTTATATCAATAAAGCAATTTAATTGTGACTGAATTTTCCTGTCCTTTGATTAATATTGGGATGATGCATGACTTCATTTGAATAGCGTGTTTGGTCTTTTTTTTTCCCTAGTTTGGTATGATTGTGTAAGAGTGAAGGTGTTTTAAGCTTTCCATGTTGGTCTGCCATAGTGAGCAATTTTTTAATGAGGGTTAATGCTATTCAAATACAATATTTAATGGTAGTCTTTATAATCTTAGGGCTGGTTTAACTATTAAAACATGTTAGAACTCATAGAATAATAGGAATGGTGCTTGGGAGGGCTTTCTGGAGGATCTCTGTTAGGCTAAACCTGCTCCAGCCTCCAGCTTGAAGTGGGATTATTACCAATGCTAGATCAGGGGAGCTTGCCTTCATTTGCTGAATCCTGGAAGCCTCCAAAGACAGAGACTTTTCAGCTTCCCCGGGCAAGTTAATTCTGATTTGTGTCTGGGAACGTTCATTCTTAAGGTCCAGAACTAAAGCAGTTTGGGATTTAATGTTATGATTTTACTATCACAATGATACTATATATGAGAAATTTATTTCCTGTGGGAATAAAACTCACTTTGATTTTCAGTAATTTGTGCTCATAAATCGCATCTATATGAAAATATCTGGCATGTTTTGTTAAGTTACCCTAACTACAGTCTTCCCTAAGCTGTTTGTAATTTAAGAATATTGGAATATTTGTCAAGAATGGCACTTTTAGCAATAAATCAAAATGTGTAGGTAGTAAACTATAATTGCTGAAATTATTCTGAACAGCTGATAGTGAATTACAGCTGTTTAAGGATGAGGTGATTATGTCCAGACCTTGTGAAGAACTTAAAGCCTCTGCCAGCCTACAAAGCTACAGTGTTCCCTTATTTAATACCTGTCCTAGAACTTGAGTGAAAGATAATGCCTGGTTTAAAACAAAACTTGAAAAAATGCAATGGATTTCTTTTTATGAAAAGATGTGAAAATTTGAAAAAAGATTTGAATTTGTGAGCTAAACTAGCTGGTGTGGAAGGGTTCAGCAGCCTGACAAACAGTAAATGGGGAGCAGTTTTATGTTCTTGTAACTCGTATTTCTGTAATCATGTGGTTCCCATTGCCCGAGTGCTCTGTACCTGATTTCACTGCAGTCACAGAGAGCGAGACTGCTGCTGTGAATGAGAGTCATAACACATTAGCTGTTGAAATAAGTCTTGGTCTAGTATTCATTAAAAGTGGTCTTCTCGTAACTTTCTAACAGCATTCTTTAAAGCAGATTTTTATTTAAAGAAAAGTATTCGGGATTAAGTAATTTTAAAGAAAAAAAAAATCACTCAGTCTACATGATTTCCTATTTTTCCCCTAAGGTTTACTGTTTCCTGGTCCTGAATGTAGCAGCCCTCCCCAGAGCCTTTGTCCGCCAGCCTGGCTGGCTGACTGCTGCTGGCATCCATGTCTTGGGTTTGTTTTGTTTTTTTTTTATTAGTGCAATCACCTCACCTCCGTTCTCCAGCCTGGCAAGGTTGCAGCGTGGCTCTGTGCTGCTGTTCCGTAACTGCCATGCAAGATTTTGGTGGTTTTATGGAGGATACAAAAGTGCATCCCTCTGGAGAGGTCTTACCAAAATTATCTGCTAAGCCAAAGTTGGGTAAGATTGCTGCTGGTTTAGCTTCCTTCAGGCATTAACGGAAGCCAAAAGTAGCTGAGGTGAGTAGCTGATGAGTAGCTGAACTCATCAAGGATTTTTCTCAACCACAACTGCATCTGAACTTCCTTATTTAAAAGTAGTGAGAAGCCAAATGCCTCAGTCCTAGGAAAGAATGAAGTCTACGGGGTTGTGGATAGTCTTAACAGCCATAAGCGCTGGCACTGTCATGCTGTCATTCATGGTTGTTCTGGAGTACTTACGCCAAGTTACCTTCTCATCTGTTTAGTCTCAAAGATAACTGGCAAATGTAATACTGGCTCACCTCTTCTTAGCTTCTCCAGACCCCATGGAAGGATAAAAGCACACAGATGTAGTACATGTTCATCAGAATTACAGTGCTGGAGTCCCGTTTCGTAACAACTGCTTGAGTAAGTACTTAGGAATTTCATCAGGAGTTGTAATTTTCCTTAGTTTTCCTGTGACATATGCTTTCAGTCTTGGAGACCAAAGCATGCTTCATATCCTACAATTTGTTCAGCTTTCACGGATTTGTTTCAGCGTCTGAAGGGCCCTCATGTGTTGTAGGGCCACCGAGCTAGTTGTGTCCCCTTGTGGTACCGGTGGGCTCAGTTGCTTTTCATTTCTCATTGCTGCTTCTCCAGCGCTCCATCAAATACTACGCCGCCATGCGAGCAGGCGCAGGAGAGGGGAGCCTCAGGGATTTCTACTTGCTCATCAGGGCTTGCAGGGAATTTGGATCTGTTTTGTACTGAAAGAATCGCTTGCTCAGGTGTGCAACATGTAGAAAAAGAGATGTCTAATGATTTGATTATTGTGAGAATATCCTTTTGCTGGGGAAGAAGAGATCGTTGATCTTTCTTCATGCCTTCCCGCTATTCTGTCTGTTCCTGACTGAAGTTTACCTTCTTGCTGCTTCACCCTAGCAGTAATTATCAGCATCCTTAAAGACTATTAAAGGCTTCAGTCTCCAGAGCTCTTAATCTAGACATGCTCACAGGCACAACTTGTGTCTATCCGTAATCCACTCAGACCTGCCAAGACACTTCAACTTCTAAAAACAGCATCATCCCAGGCTGGGCTTTGGGTTAACCTCCAAGAAACTGGTCTGAATTATATTGCAAAGTATCACCCTAAGGAAGAAGAACGAGGACTGTAACTTACGCTGTCTGGGGTGGAAAGCTTAAAGTCATCTTCTCTGTGATTTTTAGTTTATCAGAGCTCTGCCTGTGAAGTCCCAGGGCTCTCCAGCCCTACCAGTGTCACAGGATTTAAGGACGTTCGGTATTTGACTGGATCGGGTCCTGAGCAAAAAGGTCTTACGTACGTGTACAAACTCATGGAGATCATTCTTTTGAAGGCAGAAAACAAACAATGCTGTACAAATGTGAAGTTTTATTGTGATTGAGTGTTTCTAGAAATAAATGAAACCAAACAAGTCACTCTGGTTTATTATGGAAATGCAAAGGAACAGAGTGTTAACGATTGGGTACAAAACCCATACATTGGAAGGTTAAAAGCCAAAAAACTGTGTATGTAAATATGTTTAATGAGTACAGTTGTTGATAGCAAACACTGGCTGTATATGACATATCCTGTACTTATAGAATACATCTATATACACATTTATATAAGACTGAAAAGGCACTAGAGTTTTCCAGATAAAACACAAGTAAATTAACAATGTAAATCCAAACATGGAGGTTGGGGAATCTGTTTAGGAGGATGTGCCAGAAGGGAAACTTTCAAAATCACATGGGAAGTTAGAAACCAGTCTCCCACCGAAAGCCAGGGAATTCAAAAGTCCAGCTCCCATTTGTATCTTCAAAATCTCCCTTAATACACTGGTCAGATGCCAAAGAATGTAAGCCGTTTAATGAGCCTGTAAGGGAATGTACAGTACTGCAGCAAACTACGTAGCATTAGGCTTCTTATGAAGCTGGAGAGCTTACTATAAGATCTGGCACTCCTGTTTGTGCTATTCTTATAATTGTAGAAAGACATGGGTTCTTACAGTGCTGAGGATCTAAATACATTCCTGTGCAAGTAGTGCCCAAGAAATCTTGGAGCTATTTGTGGGGGAAGGTGCCATGGGAATAAGGTAGGGTGGCCAAACCTGGTGGCCAGCCTTTCATCCGCTTTTGCCAGAGTGACCTTTCTACCTTCACCTCACTGAAACGTTTATGGTTTAAGAAAATACGTATTTTTTAATCTCTTGAAAAAGACTCACTGGAGAATAACATGATATGAAGGAAACTTGGTAAAACGAAGCTAAGATAGTACGTGTATGTGAAAAAAATGCTATGTAGAAATGAGTAGTAAAACTATTTTATGGATGGGTGTGTCTTTTAATGATTTTAGCTTCTGTGTTTTCATTGCCTTACCTACGGAGTGTAGGCTGTAACTGCAAGATGAGCGTAGGTAGTTTTACAGCTCGTGATTTTAGCAGTTGTAAGAAATGCTGAGTATGTTTACATGACATTTATTTACATAGGAAATTAAAGCAACAACCAGCAGTGTCCAAACAACGGCAATGTCTGTGTCACGAGCCTAATGCATAGAGTGGCACATCAGTCAGTCCAGGGCAGATTTCATGTAAGAAGATTCACTTCCATTTTGGAGACACAACTGCTTTGGTCTGATTCTCAGAGCAGCTACACCTGTAAAAGACAACAGCATCTGCTGTGCAGGGAACGAGGAATTGTGTAATTGTGTGCAAAATCATGCATGTGTTTAAAGTTCTGTTAATCCAAACCCTCAGTTGGCTTTGTGGATGTAGGTGGATAGCACACGGCAGCAGACCAGCTGCATGACCTCACTTTCTGAGACACCTTTGGTCCCCTCTTATTGTAAAGGCCCCTGATTCCATTCCACCAATTCTTGTTTTCCTGAAATATTTTATCACTTCTGCATTACAGGTTTTGCCTTTTCCATATGGAGTGTTTACACTGGCTGGCTGCTCTGCAGAAACTGCGATGGAGAGTTGAGACTTAAGTCAATGCCGAGTGCCCCCAGCTCCAGCTGTGTCTCCTTGCTCCTGCCCTGGAAGGGGCTGAGCCTGCTCCAAGGGCACGGGGAGCTGCAGGGTGCCGGGGGGACGGATGCAGCGTGAAAGCAGAGTCGGTTAGATGTACCCGGGTCTGCAATGGAGCTGCTGTCTCATGGTAGAAGCTCCTTTTCACTTCATTCCAAAATTTTTGGCATGGTGTCTTTAGTAACTCAGATATAAAGTCCTTACAACTGCTTTGTCACCTATTGAGCACCGTTCTATTATGCTTTTACTGAAAATGGATGGACTAGGCTTTTCCTGGAAGCGAGTGCAATTACTAGTGGCTTTAGCAGGAACAAGAAGTTACCAGCTGCAACAGGTTCTCAGGCTGCAAACCAGTAATGCCCAGACTATCTGGCTTCTGCTATAGTAGTTTTAGTCTTTTTGTAGACACCTGATTGTCTTCACTGGATCATTTTGTAGAGAAACCTATGTTCTCTCCCAGGAAATTCAAGAGCGAAACTCCCACGGACCCGAACACGCAGATCGAAGGAGAGCTCCTGTGTTTCCCAGAGGATTTGGTTAGCATTGCAGAAAGTCCAGCTTTTGCTCGTTCCTTGGTAAGTGTACGTTGCAAGTGGTATTTTAAAACGATAGTCAAACCAGCTTCTTCGTTTTAAATATAATCATGATAAAGCACAAATCTGAAAGTATTCCTACATGGACCTGACAGTGCAGTATTGCTAGGGCAGCGTGCATTTAGCAGTGTAAGCAAGCTTTAGCCAGCAATAACCTTGCCAAAGTGTTTCCTGGTACGAGATATTTTGTGTTTGTAATGACCATTTCTGACTTCATCCTGCAAATGTGCAAGTATTTGCATATTCTTTGTATTTATTAGTATTGAACGTGATAAGTCTGCTGAGTTGAGAGATGTATGCATGCACTCAGGTACTTAGAGAATTAGGATCTCAAGGGCACAAAATGGAGGATGCACCATACATAAGCAACTGGCAATTATAGTCACTTGTTAAAATAGTTTACAGTGGCCTGTGAGGCACAAGAAGGAACATAGCACAGCTTTAAATAAGTATAAAATTTTAGATTGTATATCCTATACTTTGCTGAAATGTGAAACTTGCACAATTATTTATGCCACAGATGAGTTGCATCTAATAAAAAAAAAAAATCCTGAAAAAATATCAATCTTCCTTCCAATTAAAACAATTCTCCATTTTCTTTCTGTTAGCCTATGAGACGGTACTTTCATTTAATGTCACAATGCTCTGTGACTACAGAAGTTACGTATATTTATGAAAAAATGGACCAATATATCAAATTGAATAGAATGTATGCACCAGGGAATATTATCCTGGAGTACTTGTCGATGGCATGAGTGTCGATCCGCATGCTGACGTATCGCTGGTTTTTCCTCCTGCCTGAGCCCCTCTCGGACCCCAGCGCCAGCTGCACCATCATTCGGTCTTGTTTATCTCCGTTCTCGGACACGTAGTGCCCCAGTTCGTTCACATCCCCGTCGTTGTAGCTGCCGTCCATCATCATGGGCCGAGGCTGAGGTAGGCTGCACGCACAGGGAAGCTGTGGACACAGGGAAGCGCAGGATGGGTTTGAGTTGTGTCCAGATATACACAGACATCCCTCTTCTCCTTACAAAAGCAGAGGAGGGGACAAGCCTGGGGAATTTAGGCTGCTGGGACACAAAAGGGAGAACGAGAGGATGGAGCTGGGCAGCAGCTTTTTGCTTCTTCAATTTTGTGTCTGCAAGACACAGCGCAGTCAGGGAGAGAGCGGGGTTGTCTGTGAAAAAGCTCATTTGGCTTAAGCACATGTATCAGGATGTAAATAAAGGTTGGACCTCTACCTTGAAGCTGAGAAAATCGGAGGGCAGAGGGAATCTGCAGGAGGAATGTCTCAGGCTTGCCCCATTTGAAAAGAAGAGCTTAGGTTATAATTTGATTTAAGGAAGGCAGGAGGGGGAAGTTTGGACCACTGTGTGTAAGTTTAGACTGTGCCTGGAGAAAGGTGGGGGAAATCTGCCCCGTGATCTGGAACCCAAAACACAGTATCCATCTGGTGCTATGCACAGGCTTGGATCTTCCGCATAAAACAGTATTTAAAGGTAAAATCCTAAACCCTGTCCCATTTATACAGGCAGTGGAGGGCTGCACATGGAGGGACGAGTGCCCTCAGACTCTGAAGAAAGAGCAGTGAGTTCGGGTGTGGGCTTCTGTAGCAAATCTTTATAACCAGGAACGCCTCACTGCTTGTGTCTTTCTGTACGCCCTGCGTTCTCCCCAGGCAGCTGAGAGCAGCACGCTGTAGTTGCAAACTTTTGAACATTTCCAGACATTTGCCACATCTTTTCCCGGGGGCATAAAGCTGCGTTAGAGACAGAAAACCTCACCTTGTCCCGCAGTTTCCTCTCCTTCCGCTCTTGCACCGTAGTCAGGTAATTCACTGCCGCGTACTCCAGCACCGAGAGGAAGACGAACACAAAACTGACCCACAGGTAAATGTCCACCGCTTTGATGTAGGAAACGCGGGGCATGGAGGCGTTCACCCCAGTGATGATCGTGGACATGGTCAACACAGTGGTTATCCCTGGGAATACACCAGCAGAGAGCCCGTAAAGCACTTTCAGCCCAGACCCTTCATCACAAATCCAGTTGTCATTACAATTTCCTGACATTTGAAATTGTCTTGCAGTATTTTTTTTCACATTTGAGTGGTGGGTTTCACTGCCCGAGGAGGGCCTGGGCAGCCCTGATTTCTTATTGGGGTTGTTCTGTCCTTTTGGTGAGAACAGCTCTAGTTCTGGTCTGAGGGTGTTGCTAGCCTAGTTCCCCACCATGCCACCAGCCTCCCATCCCACGGCAGGCAGCAGCGCTTTGACCCCGCGCTGGCTGCGCCCCATCTCCAGGCTCAAGGCAGTCCCCAGAGCGGGTGTACAAGTAGCTCGGCTTCGCGTTCACCCCCTCTGCAGCACAGGCACAAGCGAAGCTCTGCTGCTGCTGCTCCTGCTTCCACCAGGTTCCCCAAGTCTGTGTTTTCTGTCTGCTCCTGAGAAGTCCTGCTTCGTGGGAAGTCACCACCCAGCTCCCAAGCCTGGTCTGTGCCTTCCCTGGAGCAAGAGCAGGGACTAATGGGGCCCCAGAGGGCAAAGCTGCCCCACGTTACACCGTGGGTGAGCACGTGAGCAAGGGCAGGAGCCCCTGCAGTTCAGAGTTATCTGAGCTCTGAGGGAAGGTGTCTGTGACCCTCTTATTTCAGGGCCTAGTTACATTAATGATCCCTTTGAAAGTTGAAATGATGTATATAAGCACAAAGGACTGAATTCACAGGAGTGTGTAGGCACTAAAAAGTACTGCTAAAGGCAGTGCCTACACCTCTCAAAAAGCCATGGCCCAAACCCTTATGCTCCTTTCAATGATGTCTCAAGGCAATGGATGCTGTTTCTAAACACAGACATGGATAACTGCCCCATTGCTATCTCTGCTATGCCTGTATATATCTTCTCCACTGAGGAATGTAATTTTAACAATAAATAAAATCCTGAGGAGTTTTGCCTGGAATAAGCAGAAACAAGCGTGGGCTCAAAGTCTGCAAAAATACAAACAGCACTTTGCTAAGGGCAAAGCATCTGCTTTAGAAGAAGATTTATGTCCGTAGCATAGTTCTGCTCCCCTGGTGACTCCTCTGGCATATGGCTTCTTCTGTCTGAAGGATGATGCAGAAGGAGAAGCTGAATCCCTCACACTGCACTCATTTAATAAGTTGAACAACGCAACTCAGCTGACCGTGTTTCCTCCACCTTCCCTCCTCTAGCAAAACTCAATAAACTGAAATTTTGTCAGGGCTGCTAATATTGATTTCCACCTTCTCACTCACTGAAGTCTCTGAAGGATACTGACACTTTGGCTCTTTCTGTGCCATGTCTGTTAACTCAATAAAAGCAGAGCAGGACATTTGCTCCCTGATTTGCACCGCATGCAGCTAGCGCTTGTGCAAGCAGGGAAGGCAATTCACTTGGCACTGCAGGGCAGATGGAGAGTTTGTACCATGGCCAGTCCCCTGCATGGGGGACACACGTGTGGTATAGCTGATTTCCATGCCGCAAGGCAATGCTGGAGCAGTGCATAGCACAGGGGATTTTGTCTTGGTGGTCAAGGCCACAGTTGCAGCAATTGTCTCTTAGGTCTGCTGACAAGAAGATTGTGTTTACCTAAAGGGACTCTGGCAGGAACGGCTCGGCGATCGATCCAGAAGGACACCCAGGACAACATGACCATGAGAGTGGCAGGGAAGTAGGTTTGGAGCAAGAAGAAGAAGATGTGTCGGCGTAAAGTGAAGTTTATGTAGAGGCGATTGTACCACCCTGTATAACAGAGAGAAGGAAAAAGAGAAGTCACACCAACATCAGCTACTTTCAGAGAAGGTAATGTTGTATCAGGGGAATAGTGCCTCATTTGCTTTTAGAAAAACACAGTTAATAACCACAGATCATTGCAGTTTACAGAAAAGACTCCTTACTGAACCAACTATCAAAGTCAAAACGTCTTTCAGGACCACATCTTCCAGAGAAGATAATATAACCTGTGCACCTGGAGAGTTTATTTCATGTTAAGGCTTGGTGTGATCTTGAAGAGGGATTGCCTTTCCAGACTACAGAAGCATCAAGATGGAAAGCTGTGTCAGGGACAGCAGCCTCAACATGGAAGACGGGCAGGTCCGATGGGCCACAGGGAGACCTCCCAATGGACAATTGTCCATGGCCAAGGTCGAGAGTGACGGTTTGCTCCCCTTCTTCCCTCAGCCCACCCGCTGGCAGGCACTCTGGTACCCACCTGTGCTGCTGTAAAAGGCGAGCTTTGTGGTGGTGTGAAACTCCTGGATGAGGAACTGGGACAGCGATATCCTCTCATCTGTTTTTAGGGAATCGTTCCCATTCTTCCAGTAGAGCATGAGGTCATCTTCAGTGTAGGCATCTATGGGAGCAGAGCAAACCTTGGTGCAATGCACTGAGCCAGCCATTGCACCCACAGCTCAGGGTGTGCCCACACATCTTCCAGGCTATCTGGGAGATCCCGGTTGAAAAGGCCAAATGCCACCACCCAGCTGAGAGCCACGATGATGGTGAGTATGACGGTGGCAAGGAATGGATTAGCTCATTGTCACAGCCCTCAGTCCCGATCCTTGGTGCGTTTTGTAAACCCTTTTGTTTCTCTAATCATAATTTCGCACGCATAATCCATGAGTCAGGTAACCCACCACAACAGAAGTTGAAAAACTGTCCCTTATCAATGTCCTAAAATCAGAAGCAAAGGAAGGAGACTTTGAGGAAAGAGCCTGCTTGGGGTAACAGGAGGAGCAATCTATCAATGGACTGAGGCATGCAGGAGGAAAAACTCTTGGGTAAACTTTCTGCCTGTGATGCACACATGAACATTAGAGGTCTTGTTTTTGTAATACATGTGGAAATATAGTAATATTAATCCTTTCAGATGGCTTTAGTAGCAGCTGTTCCCAGACAGAGAGAAAAAAATCACACATAAATGTATTAAAACAGAATTAAGATTATAATTTCTTATTGCAAGCTTAAGAAGGAAAAGAAAAAAAAAAACTCCTAAAGAGATAAAAGTTTAAAATGTCGCTGTATGAAATCTAGCTGATTCATATGTGCGTCATACCTGGGACAAAGGAGCTACATGTGGGTATAAGCTGAGTTTATCTCAAACAGGTGTAAGAAATGTAAGAGGAAGGTGATTAATGTCACTGCCCTGTCATGGGTTCTACACCACGGATGAGCAGATGGTGCACGTGAAGGGCGTAGGGCCATTTATTTATGTGTTTGAGGGCACCACTGCGCAAGTGGGGGCTGCTCGAGACTGCTGACCTGCAGACAAGTGGCCCAGGTCCTCTGGGGATGGGGTGGCAGTGGGGCAGCCTGGCTGGCTTTTGGGGACACTGGCACAACAGTGCTCACAGCTGGTGTTTAAAAACACTGCATTGTTGCAAACACCATCGAAGTCCAGTGAAAAAATATGGGCAGGGAGTTCTTAGCATTGAAACCTGCTGACTTTGGTTAGAGCTCCCACTAATGCAGCAGCAGTTTAATTATTGGTATAATTACTGATATAATTAAATACAGTTTGGGTGCCCATGGTGTGTGGCCCTCGGCTTCCCTGCATCTCCGCTTTACTTACAGCTTTCAATCTCCAGGGAACACGTCTGTGTGTCCAGGGGAAAGCGACTAAAATCCATGTTGCACATTGCCGTTACCGTAACTCTAGGAATAATAAAAAACATTCCATTAAAAATTTGTCTTCTTATGTGACTGAAAAATAGTATAGCTGTGAGTTTGTTTTTTTATTAAGTAACTATCTGGCCAGTAACAGTCCGCTGACAATAAATACCTTCCATTCAGCTAATGCCATTCCACTTTAGTTAAAGCCATTTCTTCTCAGCAAACTAGTGTTAGAAAAGATGACTAGAAAGTTAGGCCATTACAAATTGCTACTAGATGACAAAAATATTGGAGCAGAAAACGGGAAAGGGCAGAGAGGGCACTTCTTCCTCTTTGACTATCAGCAAACATCTTTCTGCAGCGATCTGTGCTTTAAATGGATGCTTTGTATGATAAAATAATTTACATTTATCAAAGCCATCCTAGTGCCATGAGGGATGCAGGTAGTTTTCTCCACACACTGCGAATTTCCAGCTGCTCAATGAGAACCTGGTGATCACACCTGGGTATCAACCACCAGAGGGCACAGGCAGTGCCTCGAGTCAGGGCTGGAGCTGGTATGCAAGAGAGACCGCTGAAATGCTCTGCCCCATCAGTCAAAAGCTCTGGTCTTGCTATAGTCTGATTATCTCATTTTTAATAGCGTAATTTTGTGTTTGCTCTGGAAGCATCCATAAATCTTGACTCAACTGGCTTGAACTCTAGGGAAGTAAATGAAAGCAGAAGTATAAATCATAACGGGGAAAGAATTAATGAATTATAACAGGGCTAATGGTAGACAGACGTCTGTCACATAATGACAGTCCCTTGTGTTAGTAGTCCTTTTGCATGTGCGGGCTCCCACTGATGTTGCTTTCCTAATTGCATTTAGTCCTTGAGTGAAAGTGCTTGGCTCAGATTTGTTGCTTAGGTGCCAGTGAGGTCTACAGTGGTTTCCAAGACAAGAACAAAGTCTGGTAAAGAACCTTGAAAAAGGCAGACACTGAGGAAAAAATATAATCTACAGGCAAAGGCATTCAGCAAAGGCAGGCAGGCAGTAATGACCTGTTTGCTCTTAAGGGGAGATCAGTATTCATACTCCCCCACCATTCATAAAGCGCTCCAACCTGCAGTCGCCACTGAATAAAATAATAAAACTCTGTCAATTTGCTATTCAAGACGTTCACCACCATTTTGTGCAGGACAATTGCTTAAGCACAAGACTCTGCATGGCAGGATCTGAGTAGTTTGATATTCTTCTGTTCCCATCTTCTTTAGACAACCATAAATGCTTGCAATGCAGATGATTGGTATCATGCAGCTAAATGAAAGAATATATAGGCATGCATGCTATAGCTGAAATTTATGTCATTTTATTGTCCTTTTTTTATTGAACTAAGGACCTGAGCAAACTTTGCAAAGGCCTAAGGAACACCTGAACCTTGTCTAATATGCAAAGTGAAGAAAAAACTTTAATAATGAGAAGGCAAACACTGTTCAGGCTGTGAATTCCAGTGAACAGTAAGACAAAAATATCAGAGAACTAGAAAATTTGTGTCAAACTGATACCCCACAGGGAATCAAGAATTGCTTTTCTTGCCTTCCTTTCATAAAAATCATAAAACACCTCATGGCAGGCTCAGCTCTGCCTCTGCCACTCCTAAGGTTACTGTCTAACATGCCCTTAAGGACCTCCACAGCCTTCCCAAGCAATATGTTCTGCAACCTTATCATTAGTTAAAGTTAAATCTATGCATCTTGCTGCTACTGACCTCCTGTCAGTCAGATTTTCTTTCTTTTTTGTCCTTCAGACTACGTTATCTACCATCTGATGCTTTGTTTATTTATCACATATTTTGCTATTTCATTGCTGTGGAGGTGATGTCAACATTCTTGCATCAGAATGTTTTACAGCAATTTCCTGTCCAATAGGTTTTTATGGATCATTTGGCAATACTTCTTTTCTAACTGGATGGAGCTGCAGCCAAGAAAAACAGAAGCACTGATTTTAGTTTCTTTTGGAGATTGACAGATGCCCTCACTTAGCATCTCCAAGCATGAAAGTAACAATTAGAAAGAAAAAAATCCTCGTTTAATAATCTTCAGATTTATGGTCAGCAGTATTCAAGGAAAGTAGGTGTCTAAGCTGTAAGAAGCAACCCTGAGCCCACCGCCCCACCCCTTGCCTCACACTTCACAGCTCCCCAACACCAACAGCCCAGGGGTGCCTGTGCTTGCAGTTATGGACATCCCCAGGCACCTGGTGTCTGCTGCTGCACATTCCCAATAGGGTCTCCATGTGGGTTGGACTGAGGGGCTCAGTGTCTCATTGACACCTAAGACCCCACGAAGTTTCACAGGCTGAGCCTGCCCGGCCTGCTTCCCATGAAGTGTTTGTGTTGAGGAGGAGGATGTCGGAGGAAACCCTAAGAACAGTCTATGGGATCCTGTACTGTTTTTCAATCACCTCCTTGGTTCTGACACCTGCACACACACCTGTGTTACTCTGAAGCAAGTAAAGCTGATCCACCGGTTGGAAAATATGGGAGAAAGTCAGGGTTAACATCACTCCTCAAACTAGAGGACAAAACTCTCACTTGTTCCCACAGCATCATAGAATCATGGAATTGTTTAGGTTGAAAAGACCTTTAAAAGACCATTGAGTCCAACCGTTAACCTAGCACTGCCAAGTCCACCACTAAACCATGTCCCTGAGCACCATGTCTACCCATCTTTTAAATACCTCCAGGGATGGAGACTCAACCACTTCCCTGGGCAGACTGTTCCAATGCCTGACTACCCTTTCAGTGAAGAAGTTT